GAATCCCCCACAATCACCCCGAACCCCTGTAGTTGTATGATACTCCTTCATTTTGCACACAACCACTACTCATTGTACTTGACTCATAACTCAATACTCCTTTATTGTGAACTTATTTATTGAGAAGTTTGAATTTTGGATCAAGCATTTCCCAATTTTAAGTCTGCATAGAGGGACTTCTAAAATGTCTGTTTGAAGGCAGAAGTTGGTATTCTTCATGCAGAGCATGTGAGGGATCAGAGGAGATACTAACAGCTGCCTCAGAATTATTTCAATGTAAGCAGTTTGAAAGCTCTTATACTGTACCTTTCTTATACTGTGCCTGTATACAGTACTATCCCCAAGATTTAAAATTTGAAGATTTAAAATCTCCCCAGTCTTCATGTTTGAAATTCACTACCTAACTGAGGGACCTTACAGAGACAAGTTCATTTGTTATGAAATCATTAAAAGCACTGTTATTGCACACAGAGACCACTCAACCAATTGCGTGCCTCATTGAGTTAATTTTGTGCACCTTAATTAATTTAGGTTTGACCCAGCAAAGTGTTTAAATACTTTTCCATTCATTGCTTTTCCATATCTCTTCCATATTAAATATGCAATTCTTTTTTTGTTGCTTGATGTATGAAGTAGTTTGTTTCTATAAGAATTTGTATTTACATTTTCAAAGTATAATGACTGCAAGCTTTAAAGTAACAAAATGTAAAAACTGCAAGTCTCTGAAAGGATACAATATACAGTAGAATACCAAGGAATTATCTTAAATCTTATCTCAGATGGGTTTTTTTTTCAGAATTCAGGCTTACTCTCAGAATTCTAATCATAGAATTAGTCATTTAATTTTTAATTTCATTGTTGACATCTAATAAATGTCTAAGACCTCTTAAGCTGTATCATAGAGATTTTTTATTTGATTACATTGCTGTTCAAAAGAATATTGCATGGAGACTTAAGTTCACATACAGTAAGATGATGCGCCATAAGACCTTTAGTTCTCATGTTTTCTTCCTTTTCACGTTCCAAAGGGATCAGTACATTTTCTTTAATCACTTTTCAGACGCATTCATGAAACCAAAAGCACCACAGCCTATTGTTGTCAGAGAGTGAATTAGTATGGAAGGGAGTTGGTTAATTAATGCACTTCCACTGAAGCCGAAGGTAGCACAGATGGAAACAAGATGGTTGCCTGGCAAAATCTGAGCCT